CAATTATAGTAATCTTGTAATTAGTGTTATTGTTCTAATTGACTAATTAGTTAGCGAAGCAGTTCCACCAGTAAAAGAGTAACTTGGCGTGTAACTTCTGTACATCGCAGAACTTTTTTGACCGTTTATAAGCTTAAAAAACCTGTAACGTTTTGGTCGACTTCAGTTCAAAATGGTATGTGTTAGGCCTTTATAATTTCTGTAAGGTACTTTTAATGTAAACCAGTTTTGAAAATGGCCATTATTTGTTTAAATGTTTGTACAAAAAGCAATGGAAATTTCGTTAATGCGAATGGATTCTCAGTACGTTGCTTGAGCCTAAGCCGTTTGAAAATATTTGTCTAGTCAAGCTCAAGCGTATTCAAATATGAAAAATGAACTCAAAAAGTTGGGACAGAGAAGCATTTTTTTTTTTTCATTTCAACCTTATATAACAATTCTCTGAATCAAATCGACTTCTGTGTTTAGCGTAGATATGTGACTCCACTCAGTTCTCGTTTTCTATGTTTGTTCAGTTTTTAAACTGGGGATGGAAATAAGTTTAAAAATAAGCTTATTTTAATTTAATTTTTTTTTGTTTAAGCGAGAGTGTATTTCATTGCACATTGGCCAAGCTGGAGTTCAGATCGGTAATGCTTGTTGGGAGTTGTATTGCCTTGAACATGGCATTTTGGCAAATGGACACATGAACGTTGGTGTAACTGAAGGTCAAGATGACTCGTTTACCACATTTTTCAACGAGTCTGTCGCTGGAAAGTATGTTCCGCGATCAATTTTTGTCGACTTGGAGCCGACAGTTGTTGGTAAGTACTAAAAGTGTAGACTGATACAGGCCCAGTTCCTGAAAGGCCGATTAGCACTAATCAATTTTAAAAAAGATTAAAATTGTGTACCGTAATTGTATTCTACCTTCCTATGCATGGCTTAGGGTGACATTTTGAGTTATCATTACTGTATTTCGTAGTAAAAGCTCAATAGTATTTTGTAACCTCGAGTTGCATGTTCCTAGACGAGAAATCCTTGCTTGACTAGTTAACCATCTTTCGAGGAACCGGGCCTGGAGCGTCTTTTCATTTTAGTGGTCCAAGCGGGGCCGTTTAATAGATAGGAGGCGTTTATTCTCAAAACTGTAACAAGCTCTACAAAACTAATATGCATTTCGTCGAAAATTTCAAGTAATATATCAAGTATGAGAGAGAGTTGAACATACGACGCGCAGCGGAGTATTTTTGACGAACTTCGAGGTGATTCATCAGGTGATGAAACACTGCCGCTCATGCTTGCTATTACTTCTCATACAAAATAGCTCAAAATGATTTTAGAAGGAGAAATTAAGCATGTAAAAATGAGCAGTTTTTCATCTGATTTCCAAACACTCATTAAACATTAATTTTCTTTGTATTTCCTTGATGAGTTTGCGAAGAGAGTTAATAAGTAGCGGAATATCCACCCCATCAATTGATACTTTCTAGGCCGTCTACAGATCCATATGTCTCTTTCAAATCCCAACATCGACGTCAGAATCATTGCTCAGGGTTATTGTTTTGCCGTTGTTGGTCTATCATCGTCTTAAACTTGACATTGAACAAGATGAAATACGCAAACCATATTAATGCTGAATGAATTGAACGATTTTTCTCCTTTTTGGTAATTCCTAGTACTTTGGAGTAATTCTCATAGGCGTGCGGAGTCTAATCAATTTTTAACAGCATAGAGGGGGCGTTTATTAGTCAAAGGGGCGTTTATTTGGAAGTGGGCGCGTATTAGGTCATTTACGGTAGCTAATATAAGCTTAGTAAAATCTTCGGTGTTTTTGCTTATATATGGAAAAGAAGATTTTCTTTGGAAACAGTCTAGCAAACCACTTCCAGTACTGATCATGCTTAACAGGTATTACTTACTTTCACCATGTTAACCATTATTTTTTTAGTCTTGTTTCTTCCACTTTGGAATTTTTAATTACTGGATTTATAACCCCCCAAAGTTACTGTTCACCTTAAAGATTATTTTAGTGTAAAAAAAGTTCTTTCCGACTTCAGCTTCAACTCCTACTCGGCGTGTGTCATGATTGATTAGGTTTTAAGAATGCCTTGTTAAGAGCAAAAAAAGTACTAAACAGTAAAAAGATTATAACAAGTTAACGATTCGCTTTGTCTGATCCATCCTTAGACGAAGCTCGCACGGGAGTCTACCGTGACCTGTACCATCCTGAACAGATGATCTGTGGCAAAGAGGATGCTGCTAACAATTATGCTCGAGGTCATTACACTGTCGGCAAGGAAATCATTGATTTGGTCATGGACAGGATTCGAAGGCTGGTCAGTAGTTTTTCAAAACTGCTGTATGGGTAGACGCCTTGTCTTCAGACTTCTGAGGCAGACATGGGTGGAGAAGGAATGGTAGTAAAATTGCCTCTGGAGAGATATTGATGAATAATTTAAAGGCCAAACAGTGTGATCCGGTCGGGCTCCACCCCAAATGAAATCATCAACAGCTTTACTCCAGGGAAATTAATGAAAGATGAAAAATGAAAAAAAAAAAAGTTTGGGAAACAAAAAGAAAACGATGGGGTCGAAAAAGGCCAAAAAAAAAAAGCAACAAAAGAGGAGAAAAAAAAATTAAAAGAAAGAAAAAAACAAAAACAAAATAAATCAACCCCCCATCGGGCTAAACAGTTAAAATGAAAAAAAAAACCTGGAAATTGTATATCTGTTGGTGGTTTCATTTGCCCCTTCCTGAGATCAAACTTCACTATAAAATTATTTCTTTTCAAACAATAACTCAGATCTCCTTTGGCGATTAGCAGTCGTCGAGGATAATGATACGCTGTGTTATGTAGTGATTCACGATTGTGGGCAATACGTATTTTGTAGCAATTTTTATTTCTCTCTTCTGAGGAAGGGGGGCGTGTTTGTGCCGGTTGGGGTGGTTTGTTTTCATTTTATTTGCAACCGTCAATCAGACAAGACATTTGCAGCCTTTTTCTTGACGCCTACACTGCTATTCCTCATGTTCTGCCTCAGTTTAGTTGGTGTTGAAATTATCAAGATCTTGCTACCGTTTCTGGAAAGGTTGTGCCTTGCTATTGGGTAGACTAGAAAACTTTCAACTAGCCTAGCCCCTGTAGCTAGGCCAGGTGGTAGTTTTCTAGTCTACCCAAGGGTACTTTGCTCCTTAGGCAGACCAGTGTTCCGGTCTACAAGGATTTCTCCTGACCCATTCGTTTGGTGGTGGAACTGGATCCGGGTTTTCCTCCCTCCTTATTGAACGCCTGGCTATTGATTATGGCAAGAAGTCCAAGTTGGAGTTCTGTGTATACCCAGCGCCTAGAGTCTCTACTGCTGTAGTGGAGCCGTACAACGCGGTGCTGACGACACATTCAACTCTTGAACACGCCGATTGCTCTTTCATGATGGATAACGAGGCCATTTACGATCTATGCCGCAAGAACTTAGACGTTGAACGACCCACCTACACGAATCTGAACCGTCTAATCAGCCAAGTAGTTTCATCGATCACTGCTTCCCTTCGTTTTGACGGTGCCCTCAATGTCGACCTGACGGAGTTTCAGACTAACCTTGTACCGTACCCTAGAATTCACTACCCACTTGTATCCTACTCACCTATAATATCTGCTGAAAAAGCTTACCACGAGCAGTTGACAACGACCGAAATTACAAATCGGTGCTTTGAACCAACCAATCAGATGGTAAAATGTGATCCGCGACACGGACAGTACATGGCTTGTTGCTTGCTGTATAGAGGCGACGTTGTCCCCAAAGATGTGAACGCAGCGATTTGCGCCATTAAGTCGAAACGCACTGTCCAGTTTGTAGAGTGGTGCCCGACGGGTTTCAAGGTTGGTATAAATTACCAGCCCCCGACTACTGTCCCAGGAGGGGATCAGGCTAAGTTACTCCGTGCTCTTTGCATGCTCAGTAACAGTACAGCTATCTCTGAGGCGTGGGCGCGTTTAGATCACAAGTTTGATCTGATGTTCACCAAACGAGCTTTTGTCCATTGGTATGTGGGGGAGGGGATGGAGGAAGGAGAGTTCATTGAGGCCCGTGAGGACCTTGCCGCATTGGAAAAGGATTATGAAGAAGTGGAAGCCACAGCTTCGGATTACGATGATGAATACTGAGCTGAACTGTACCAAGATAAAAAACCAACAAGAACTATAATCCGTCCTATGGGTCGTTTCTTCTGCGCAGAAACAGAAGAGTATACGGAAGAATGAACGTGGCCTCACTTCTCATAATATGATAAGTTTCAAGATCATTACAGTAGACTAATGACAACTCAATCACCAGTTAACTTTAAGTGTCAGCAAAAATAGTACCCTTAATTTGTGGCATTTTCTCGGCAACATTATATTCTCTTAAAAAACAACTGATAAACAACCTGATTGACTAACATCGCTCTTAGAAAGCGCCATTCTAAATTTAAACCCAAGCTTTTGTTATGATTATTTTTTCAGATTAAAAAAAGAACTGACTTTCCAGCCATTGAGTGCTCTATAGGGACGGTCGCATATAAGTGGCTGTGATTTTATAGCTGGTATATTTCCTATAAAAAAGAAGCAGCAACTCTAACCTCTTGATTTTTAATGAGAAGCCTTATACTCAACTGATCCATATTAAAGAGAATTTGGAGTCAAGTTAACGCCAAACGTCAGATTTAAGTTGAGAATTTTTCAAAAATGGAAAATGAGCAGATAAAACCTGTGCAAACTAGTCAGTCTAATGGATAAAACTAGCGTGAAACTGACATCATATTTTGTGGAAGTAATTTTAACAGTAAGCGTGGTAGAAATTGACGTTTGTCGTTTGTCGCTAAACGTGACTTTATTTCTCTCTATTTTTACTTTCCATGAATAAAGTGATCTCTTGTCAGTCGTTCTCAGTTTTGAAACCTATATGTTGTCCGTTGTAAGCGGTTATTGTGTACGAAGCTGTCGCCTAAAATCAGTCCTGTTCTTCAATAAAGATTCAGAGCAAGATCAATGAAATTGTTTTATTGTTTCTATACAAATACTGCGCATTTAAAAATCTTCTTAAAAGCCAAGGTTTGCAAGTCCTCGGGAAGGCTCTTATCAGGTAGCCCTGTCTTTTTTCCTAGACCTCAAAACCATTCATTCCTTCATCATTCACCTGCGAACGCCTTTCACCCTTCAACTAGTATACTTTATATAAGTATTTGTAGTTGGAATTTTTAATATCATGCAATTTTTTAATAGGGTTATTCAAGCATTCCGTTCTATTTAAGTTTCTGTTTTCTGTTCCTTTTCGGGAATCCACTGCTCAAAGCCTGATAGCATTTCGTCTCTTTCGAAAGCGCCTGTTTCAGATTCATGATGGCTACGTTTCCATTTTGTGCTATTAGTACGTTGAGGTTGACGAATGCTGTTTGTTTTTGATGAAGAGCGATCTACCGTGGGCACTGTGGACCTTTCAAAGACCAAGTTTCCCGAGATCGTCAATATGTGTTGCTGAGGTAATGCTCCACGAATGGGAGATAATAAACCAGCCAATGGCTCGGCCTTGTAGCATAAATCGTTTTCCTTGATGTCTGTATGAAAACTTGATATTGACTCCAAATTCTTTCCGTCAGTTTTCTCACTTGGTGCATACGCATTGCAGGGTTCTAAATTCTTGGGTTCTGTAGGGACTTCAATAGAAGATCTATAGCCATAATTAGTAAATGAACTTGCATAGTCACGTGGCTGTACTAAGTTAGGTTCCGTGGAAGGACAGTCCACCTTAGAGTCTACAGCGCGTTCTCTACTGCACGATTTTGTGTTATCATAGTTACCTAATTTCTGACTACCACTCTGATCATAGAACTCCTTATCTTTAAAATTTGAAGAGCATTTTAATCCAGATAAATAGCTGGTTTCGACGCCTGGAAAAGAGGAACTAGCTTTGCCAGAATCTTGATAACAAAGAGTTGAATTTCCTTCATCAAATTCCCAAGCGTTTTTCTCAGATTTTTTGTCTGGAGGGACTTGAATGAATTGCGCATCGTAGCTGAAGTTTGAGGGAAAGAAGTGCAAAACTTTTGCACTAGTCTTTCTTCTTGCATTTCCCACTTTGAGACTACTTTTGCGTGGTTTTGCCGCACCAAACAGGTCTTCTCTGTTTTGGTAATTGCCTGGTTTATCCATACACGACAGCTGTCTTAAATCCGAATCAGAGAAAGTCAGTCGGTTGAGTTTCCGACCTTTCATTTTCGTTGTCATTTGATCACGATGAGGATCGAACACCAACCCGGGATTAGATTCCAAGTCAATGTTTAGAAAACTCTTGGAATAACCAAGAGGGAATTCTTGAAGTTCAATCACTTGACGTTTCCTGGGACGAAGTTTAAGCGCACACTCGACAATCGCCCCCTCCGCATCTAATGAGTCACGTGACCATCTGCAGTAACGATCTACGAATTTTCCTTCAGAATCGGTTGTGCTCCCGTAGCCGAGATAAGTGCTCGATGATCGGTTTTTGTTCAGGAAAGCACCAACGCTCGTCCACTCAGGGTCATACATACTGTGAAGTGAATTTCGATTCTGAGTGTTTTTTAGTGGCCTGTAGCGATACCCCGCTGTTCCTTTACGCGTGTTAGGACTTCCCTGGGATCCTTTAAACAAATTCGTAACTTTGCTCTTGGCTTGATTTAGTTTGCCAGGTGGATGCGGGTTAGAATTCCGTGTATACTAAGTGTAAAAAGAATGACGTAATCTTTAGAATAAAATAAAAAATATAGTTGTGAGGGAGGCATGTGTCAACCTCCCCGCTATAAAATAACGCAACTTTGTTATTTACCTGTGAAGTGTACTCCCCTGAGTTGGGACGGTGGTAGCTGCCATTGGATGCCATGGTAAAGCACACTTTATGAGGGTTCTCCTTATATGTCAAAGTCGTGGTCGTTGCGCTGTTATTAACATAGCATTTTCCACACATTCCTCCTTTAGAGCGTGCTATAGGGCAATTAAAATGTGCATTTCGATGCCGTCTCCAAAGACATTCGCACGGCGCGTGAATGCAAAGGGCCACCACGACCAATAAAACGACAAATCCAGAAGCAATTGCTACGTACCATCGCGGACTTTTGTCCTTTTCCGAAGAAAGTTCTACAGCTGTTGGAAGATATGACATAGGATTAACGCCTCTATCATGTTTTACCATTTCTACATCTACTTACTTACTCTCACGCTTTAACGCTTTCGCGTCGAAAAAAGATTAACAAAAAACAAAAAGAAAAGAAAAGAAAAAAAGAATATAAGATAAACTTAAGAATTATAGCTAAGGCAATTACAAAAGCTTTCATCACTTTCTGCTCTAATCGTAAAGGGGATTAACTTCCAATCCTTATAGTTAAAAAGATAATAGTCATTGTGAGTGCGGGGTCTAATGCTGTCGATTGGCGTATATTACTTGCGATTACTTTTGCTAAAGGATTGCCAAGCGCATTAAGGGGAGTTGCCGGCAGTTCGGGGTATCTTTATAATTTACAATTTTTATATCTGATTTATTCAAATTTTGCCCGCCACTTTTTAAAACATTACCAAACGTTACCAGAGATAATGGGGATGTGTTTTACATTGTCCAATTTAAACTGAAAAAGGCTTAAATCTTCCCAGCTTGGAAACAGAAATTCTGGTAAAGTGGTAAAGAACGCAGTATACAATATCCTCATTTTGTCTAGCAAGCACCGTTAAGGTGGTTTAGACACCAAGTAAAGCCCATGTCCTAATGAAAATAGTCAGAAAGCCTGCACACTTTGAATGTGCAGATAAATCATAGGTGGGTTTTGCCACAAGCCGCCCAAACAATTAAACAATTTTTGAGAGGAATTCTGAAAAAAATAACGGTCATATACGCACGAAATTTTTTTTCTTAGAGAAGAAAGCAGTTTTCTTTTTCCTGTAGATGCTCTACTGATTTCCGCAAAACGTACTTCTCGATCATGTTTTTCCTAATTTCAAATTTAGGCATTTATTTTTATCGATCACCTGCCGTTCATTGCCTCATATGTTTTGCATATAAAGGAAACAAAAATACGGTGGAAAGCAGAGGATATTCATACGAATACTGTGCCAACGACATCCGTTTTGATGATTACTTTCACGCGGACTCTCCAGCGTCGGTGTATTTCAAAACACTAAATTTTAAAATATCGTCTTCTTTTCCGCGAAGACTATCGCAGTATAAGTTCTTACGATTTTCCGATTGGTTCCTAGGTAGCCGGATTTCTTTTCGTTGTGTTTCCTGGAAGATCAAAGTGTTAACACGATGAAAATTGCGACCTGAATTATAACTTACCATAAGAATTCAATCGTTCCTTGCGGATAACGTCTCGAAAGATGAAGTCTTTATGCGTGGTCTGGTCCGCAGTCTTCGGCTGTAGTTGTTGAACAGATGTTTTCCGTTTTTGATGTCGTAAGAAATGATTTCGCTTCTCTGTTGCCTTCTGATAAATAGGGAAGTTCAAACTTTGTGGCAATTGTCCATCTAATTTTTTAACAGGTTTGAAAAATTTTGCCAGTAAATGCTGCGATGTTCCTGCTGTTAGTAGTAGCGATTCATGAATATTTTCACGCTGGTTGTTTGAATCAAGGCGTTTTTTTTCGTTTTCATGAAAAAGCCATTTGCCGTTGTAGCTGAATGCAAACTGTGTTTTTAACTCGCTATATTTAGGCTGGCTGCCAAAGGCTAGGAAAGAATCAATCTATAAAGATATAAACATTAAAATTAAATTTATAAGTAAGGAATTCCTTAGTTTCGGAATAATACGAAAAGAATATTAAAATCCTAAGTAACTTGTAGTGTGAAGGTCACTTACCCAAAATTGAAGTAAATGACATAGTAAAATCCCTTTAAAAAACTGACAATTTGTGGGAAAAGTCCAAAAGAGAACTACAGCCATCACAGGAAGAGAGAAATGTTAATTAAACTTGCGTCTTGTAGAGATAAAAGAAGGAAACATAAATATATTAGTAGAGCCTACGCTTTTGACTCTAGTAGATTGCGACATAACTCACTGTATAATAATATTAGAATTCATCAATGCCAAAATATATGTAAAATATACCCGACGATGCACATTGAAAAGCTGTGAGGAAAAATAAACCGGAAGAATTGTAGAAAGAATCTATAAAACACCAACAAATATAAAAATAGCGATCTATTCAACTAAAATCACACACGTTCGAAGGGCTTAGATTGTCACTTACAGTTCAGCCTCGAACTCATTTTTAAAAAGTCATTGGTAGCTGTTTTGAAACAGGAGCTTTTTTTCGATTTTGTTTGTTTTGATGTTTGCGCATGGGAATAAGAAGAAGGATCACTCCATATGGGAAGCTAAAAATGTTAATCCACGGTCGAGTAATTATACAGTGCCAGTTTATTGGCTAAAAGCTGGGTATAGTGTCAAATTAACAATAAATCCAAAGGAGTACAAAAGATAATCTTTGCTTTGACAAGCTCTAAATTTTTAATGCGTTTCTATTCTTTGCTAGTCAAAAAAGTGAATATCGACTTTTTCTTTTCAAATCGACGTGCGTGTAGACTACGCCTTAGTGATTTGGCAAATAACAAACACGGAATTTCCAATTAAGGGAATTGTATTTTGATTTCTTGCAATAAAACGGTTCTTGGCACCTGTGAGTATATCTTCTTTCTGTCGCTCTGCGAAACAGGATGAAAAGGTGGTCTTCAGTGTAATTAATAATTTGATAGAAATGTGGTTAAAAATCAGCCAGTTGATATTTGTGGGTTGTTACCAGTTATGAATTTGTAGAGGTCAAACACCTCGTCAATGCTTTATTCCTTAATTGTCAACTGACTGAATCCCAAATTATCGGAATGATATCGGTGCGATAATTGTAAAAAAAGGTCTACATTGAGTGCATGTGTACAACACGCAAATATCGTATGTGCTAAGAACACATATTGGGAAGGTTTGGAGTAACACGTTACTGCTCCCAACACAGGTCATTTATTAAAATATGCTAGACTTATGCGGGAGACACGCATTTTTTTCGAAGGAAGTTGTAAGGGTAAAAAAAAGTGAATAAACATTTTGTCGACATAAGTGGCTGATATCTAAAGAAAATATCTAAAAAAAATGATTAGTCTTGGAGATGAAGTCTCATAGCGATTTGATTTCATTTGAAATGGTAAGAAAAAGGAGGGGAATTGCTCTGGCCGATTGTGAGAAAGAAGACTGAATTTGAATAGCCTACGTTCAGCCGCTTTTGTTACCTTTTTTTGTATGGCATTTGGTCCACGCCTACAAATTTCATCTCTATTTAAACACCGCTCGGTAATTTTTTACGAAGAACTTGACAATTTCGAGATTAATCATCGATTTATATCGCCTGCAAGTTTCAAGGGCACTGAAAACAAGGAAGCATCTGAGGCTTCCTATGTCACCAATTTCGCCCCCAGATTTCGTTTTTACAAGAGAACGTCGTCAATAACACACTAGACTATTTGACACTTTCACTCCTAATAGTAGCCAAACGAAAAAAAAAATCCACAAAAATACCAATTTTTTTGTAAATCCAGACCTGTCGCAACCAATTGTGGAATTCTACAGATGCACAGTTACGACTAATTTGCCGTCCGTCGTCCTCTTTGAATGGTCCTCTTGGATGGAGGGACGGTTTCCTTATTGAGATTAAAATGATAGTATTCTTTACGGGGTTTTTTTTCAAGCCTTAGTCAGGTCCTGGGGTGAAGGGAACAATTAGGGTTTTCGTGGCTGTATGACTAAAAAATAATTGGCAGCCAAAACGAAAATAGTTTAAAAAAACATTTAAAGTTCAAAAATATGACATGCATGAACATTTTATAGACGTGAATGCTCCTTAACTAGTTTAAAAGTTCAGTTGAAGACAGTCTCCTTTCAAGAATCATATCAGAAATACTTGAAATGATTATTTCAAATAAGGTTTTTTTACTTCCTTTATGTTACACGGAGTAATTAGCCTTACTGGCTACTCTACCATTTGTGTGTAAATAAAGTTCATGTAGGTATTTACAGTTAAAAGAATATCAATGTCAATATCACCATTTAAAAAATAGAAATGAGGCTCAAATCTATATGTTCACTAGGTTTGTTGTTGTCATTATATCTTTCAGTAGTGTGCCAAGCTCAAGCCTACTTAGGCGCTTATTAGCAAGCAGTTAGATAGTTCTTCCACATTCTTATATGTCACATAGCAGAGTTAAAAGTCACTGTGTATAGCCGTCTAAGAGAATTATTGTACTTATTTGGCGTTTTGGCAGCTAGAAGTTACTCTTAGCAGGGAGTACAGATTAGGAAACATCAAATTTTAAAAGAATAGAGCAACCACATTCATTTTCTTTCAGACCTCTTTATATGAAATTACGTTCACAGCCTGTGGCGGTGGTGGTAGGAGAAGGAAACCCATTGCACCCCCCTTTCCCACTCCTTACAGATCTGTATGTCCTTTTCATGATATTGTATCCTGCCAGCGAATACAAGAGTGAAACGAAAAGACATTTTATCATGACATAACAATGACACCAAAATCAAATTTTGCAAAATATGTTGACGGGGAAAGGTCTCAAGGACTTGATATCTCCAGTTTTGATAATTTAAGCCTTAGTGGTATATGTCATTTCAAGTAAGAGGAAAACCAGGAAAATTACTAGAAAGTGACAGCATCCATTGTTGGTAAATGCATAGCCTGAGTATCAGGCGTTTCTGGGGAAAAGGGGAAAGATGGAAGCGAAAAAGGGAGAGAGGTGAAGGAGAGAAACGCCTGACACAGATGCTTTTACCGGAGCCTTCCACCCCCGCACAGCATGATTCGATACCATCCAATCAAAATCACTTCCGGTCACTGGGTTGTCAGCTTCACGTGTCAAAAAGCTCGCCTAAAATAAATCTCACTCAACGGTTTGGCCGAGCTCCAGTGCTTGTGTTGCTACGATTTCGTTTTTTTTTTAAACCTCCAATGAGGAGTTTTTGAATACTTGTAATGTAAAACATTACAGGAATTATAACATGTCTTAAAAATTGTGTTAGTGTAAGATCGCCAACGCTCTCGTTCGTAAATAAACGTGCCCCAGAAAATTGTAAATTGCTTTTGTTTACAGAGTTACATCAGGCGCTTGTCTGGCAG